CCCCAAAACCCCAAAACCCCAAAACCCCTTTAGTCAATTATTTACAATGAATTAGCTGAAATTAAAGGAAATTAAAAGTGAAGTTCTTTGTTATTACTTCAAAAGAGAATTACGCTAACTTAATCTTATAATTTGCTATTAAATTACTAATTTTTTATCAGGAGTAATTAGTAAGCCAATATATGAAATAGATAACTTAAACAGCAACATGTAATGCTAGTTAACTGAGCTTAAACGATGATTAATTCTCCAGGACACTTGCCACCAAATCTCTTATAATGCTTGGGATTCCGATAATCATACAAACTTTAATGGTATCTTTGAATCAAGTCGTAAATATTTATTTTTGTGGATATGATGTAAACCCTGCAATTCTTGCTGGCGTAGGACTTGGTACTACTTTTATGAATGTAACTTATTTCGCTGTTTGTTTTGGATTAAATGGAGTAATGTAATCACTAGTTGCTCAAGCTAATGGTGCTGGAAATTTGAGATAAAGTGGTATATATGTGAATCGAGCTAGATTAGTGCTTACACTTTGGCTTCCTTTTGCGATATTTTTTTCATTCTTTTTGGGAAAAACTTTTGAAGCTATTGGAATCGATTAAGAGACTTCAAATGTTGCATAAATATATACCACAAGATAAATCCCGGGTTTGATAGCGTTTATGTATTTTGATATTGGTAGATAATATTTAGTCGCACGAGGTTAAGTAATTATGTGTAGTTTTATTTAAACTGCAACACTTATATTTCATATGGTTTTTTGCTGGATTTTCATAGGAAAAATGCAATTGCCATATTACTATACTAGTTATGCAACAAGTCTTTAACATTTTTCTAACTTCATAATAATCCACTTGATTTTAGAATTAGACCCTTAATATAAATCGTCATGGTTTTTAGGAGGCAAAGAAACTTTTAAGAATCTTGGAGAATATGTTAAACTAGCGGTACCTTCTGCAATTTTACAATGTTTAGAATTCGCTGGTTTTGAGATGCTCTGTATACTTTCAGGATATATATCTGTTACTGCAAATGCAGCTTAAGTCATCACACTTACCACAAATATTATGTTTTACTAAATTCCTATTGGATTAATGATAGCTTCTACAACCATAATTGGAGAATTAATTGGACAGAGAAAAAGTAAATTGGCTAAGGCTCAATCTTGTTTTATCATAAAAATCAACTATATTTCTGGCCTTATCATGGGAAGCATACTATTTATTTTCAGATATTAATTAGCTAGAGCATTTTCATCTAATGAAGAGGTTATTGAAATTACATCAAATGCATTTATATTTTCCAGTGTCTCTCACGTGCTTGATTTTATTTATGCGATCTAAACTGGGTCAATCAGAGCTCTCACCAAATTTAATCTTGCTGTTTTAGGTGGATTCATAGCTTTTTATGTATTTGCATGTCCACTTGGATCGTTATTTGCTCTATATTTTAAGTTAGGAGTTCCTGGACTTTGGTTAGGACTTATAATGGGTTAGTTTATTGTAGTTTCCTACTTTTAGTATCTTCTCAGTTGGGGCTTTGATTGGGAATAAATTATTCAAAAATCTTATGAAAGGTAAGAAGCGGAAATAAAAATGTAAAATAAGCAAGAAAACTTATTGGTAAATAATCACAAAATTCTCTCAAATGATGGAATTCTGTCGATTGAGATGTAAAAGCCGTAGAAAGTTGTATTATGAGTCATTGAAGAAAAAAGAATTGTTAAAAAGCTATTAAATTACCGTATTTTATTAGAAATATATTTTTTCCCAAAATGTAAGATTTTAGTAATTGGGGTTTTGGGGTTTTGGGGTTTTGGGG